ATATCGTCAGATGATGTACGGGAAAAATGCAGCCCTAAAGCCGAGGAAACTGACAAATCATGATAAGCGCAATCGTCGGCATTCCTCATTGATCCGACGCGGAGTGAAAATTTGGTCTTGGCAGGAATACCCGTCAGTATGCATGCTTAATTTAGGCGATGTCTCCCATCAGCTACCCTCCTCAGCCTTTCCAAGACTATCCAGGAGAAAAGTTCTCCGACGGTTGACAATAATGTGATACCTCGATAGTTGGAACACTCGGTCGCGTGATTCTTACTAAATATAGGGATAATGAACTCCATACATCCATTCTCGAGGGAAACGTTTGAAGTTCCACCTTTGACGAAATTGGGCATGATTCCTACTTTTCAAAGAATCTAAATAATCTTTTTCGTAACAAAATCCACAGACCCTATCTTCTACCAGTTCTGTTCCTCTCGTGGATATCTTATTTCTTTGTCAATGAATCATTTAGAAAATGTTTTTTTTATAACTTGGTGTTAAAGCAGAGCCAGCTCAGAGTTTCGGCTGTCTCTGTATGGTCTGCAGACGGTGCTTAAACAAACAGTTTCATGCTCAGACGTATGAAGGATAGTCAGCATAATGTTTTCACATTCTTTTTTCGAAGGTGCTGATAAGGATCGACACTTTTTTGTCGTAGACCTGAAGAATCATTCATCTTAGTTTAACTTTGTTTTTCTCGTCAGCTTGTCGAGGTCTGAGGTATAGTCTGGACTTATGACTCGGAACACGGATTCATTGCAGTTGTGGTAGTTAGAAAGTACTTCGACATGCCGTGTACTTCGACATGGAATGTGATTTTTTGTTTTCTTGATGATAAAGTTGCTTGAAGTTGCTTGATAAAGTTGATAAGTTGCTTTCTGCGACGTTGATACAAAGTAATGCTGGCAGGTAAGTTGTACTGCGTATGTATCTGAGGTGATGACAGTGTTCAATCCCATTATATAAGTATTGCAGTTCCTGTATTTTGTCTTGTTTTTAGTGCATGTTACTGCGCCCTTTCGACTGAACAACTGAGGAATTTTTTTTATAGTATATCGATTATCTGATGACCAGTTACGGTGCTTCTATTATGAAGATAATCATATTCATTTTGGAGGGAGATTTCGATATTGGCATAAAGGAGCAGGTACATCTTCAGGCGACATTAAAATGCTTATCGGTTTACATCGCTACTTGCTCTTTGTATTATAAATTCGATAATTTTATTAGGTAATGTAACTGCTTTCATTTGTCTGTTGAGAACAGTCATAGCAGTTTCCAGTCGTTGTTCATGTATGTTGTAATGTTGCAAATACAATAAAGCAAATTGTTTATTCAGTGCAGCGTAATGCAGCAGGCGCATAAGGTGGTAAATATCAAATCCGCGTTTCTTTGTATCACTAGGGTTTATTAGATGCTGTTGATTGTCCGTCCCCGAGGTAGTTGTCTGTCGTTCTGTCGTTAGAACACTATGAGTCTTTTTATCTTTTTGTTCCAGCAGTAGTTGTATTCGTCAGCTCATGGTAATGGCAACAGTAACTGTGGTTTCAGAGTGTCATAGGCTGACTTAAATGTTAACTTGTGTTGTCTTGTGATTAGCCCATTGCATAACTGTGTTCAATAAAATGTTTTTTGCTTATCAGTGTTTGGCGAAAATTGTTCGCTTTTTCGTGCCAGTTGATTAGCAAGCCGACAGCAGCGATCTTTCTGCATGCTCACTCGATTGTTTAGGCACTATGCATTCTGGCAAACATCGCTGACGGAAATTCGGCGAAGGAGTACATAATGACAAACGAAGATATTTTGCGGAAGATAGCCAACTATATGGTGCGTATCATTAATTGATTATTTTATCACTTTTCGCTCTGCGGTGACTTCTGATCTACAGCGTATCTTCTGCCTGGCTGAGGAAACAGGATGATAGATAAGGTCATGTGAAAAGTTTCTTGACGAATGTCGACTGTACTTTCGAAAATTGGAGTGAGAGACATAGTAGTTTTATAGAAAACGATTCGCTGTTTCACTTGAGGTGTGCCGATTGAAATTCAGATGCAATGTAAATGTTTTCGCCCATTGTAGAGTCAGCTGACAAAGGTCCTATCCTGGATTCAGCCATCAATAGGCAGATTAATCATGCATTCATATGATTTTGCGGTGCTCAGAGCTTTACGATTATACAGTTGATCGTTGTTCGGCGAATATCGATATATGCCTCAGCCTCAGCCCATATCAGGAAGAAACATAACTCGCCGAATGTGTCTGAATGTTCCTGCTGTCTCAGAATAGTTGGCTACCAATCGAACAAGATCACGAGTTCAATTAAATTGCTTCAGAATGCCAGTAAAGGTGTGGTGAAGGAATATATCGAACAAGGATTTATATTTAATTTCCCTCTAACAAAATAAACAAACAAGAACTTTCATCCTTTGGCCACACACAGCGACGAGACGACAAGCGGATCATCAGCACTGAGTTCTCAGTGTGCCGGAGCCATGCTAAAAATGGCAGCGATATACGTCCAAAACTTCCTGTTTTTAAGTTTCACGGAAGAACTGACTACGAGAAAACTTGGCAACACTATTCCACAAATTGCAAGAGAAATCCAGCGCAAACGTTGGCTTGCGATCGTCGCTGGCATTACCAGAAACACGATGCAGTGCGAAATAGTGGCTAGAAACACGGAGATGTCGTAATTCTTTCCGACGTTTGATAAATCAAGTCAAAGTAAGGTACTGTTTACAGCAATGATATTCATCTTCATCTTCCATGGCTGTTTCTCATTTCGGGTCACGGAGGTACACGCGTCAGACAGTGCTTCCAGTGTTCCCGATCCTGTACCAGATTTTGAACATCGGCACACGACAACTGGAGTTTCGAATAGACTCCTATATATTTGCACCAGAATAATCTTTGCCGTCGCCTGGGCCTTCTGCCGGTCGGTTTTGCATGAAACAGTTGCTTAGCCTTCCTTTCTGGAGGCATTCGCAACTCTTGGCCAAACCGTCGCAGCTGTGACTTCTCAATATGGAGAAGCAAAGGCTGTATACCAAAGCTCTTCCGGATGTCAGGGTTCCGCACCATGTCGAGACGCGTAAGGCCAGCGATTCGTCTAAGAAAGCCCATTCAGCCACTTGTACCTGAGTTCCAATTTTTTCGTCATGGTTCACGATTCATGACCGTGTATAAGCATGGGGACAAAGATCGACTTTAGTACCGAGAGCTTACTATTCAGACTCAGCTCTGCTTTAGTCCAATGGTTCGGGTTAATTCGCGCAGAACGCTACTGACTACTCCAATTCGCTGGTCGATCTCTTCTTCAAATTTTCCGTCACTAGTAAACATGACTCAGAGGTATTTGAACTTCTCTACCTGCTCCAGTGCCTCTCCGTTAATCTGAAAAGAGCAACCGACAGGGGAACGAAAAAACACTAGGCTTTTCGTTTTAGATGCGTTCACACGCATGCCGGTCACGTCGCACTCGGCTG